GGGGTTTCGGGAGGCCAAAAATGCTGTATTCAGTGTACAAGACGCACCCAGATTTTCAGCCTCTTTTTTGAGGGGAAAAGGGTGCGTCTTATACTCCGGAAAAATACGGTATACTTGTTATCTTGTATATGTTAGACAAACAAATAAATAAATAAATAAAGCGGGGCAAACAACTGTCGTGCTTAACAACAGAAATTCGGGGCTCAATTCCTAAAGGACCACAAAGGACTACCTGTAATCCAACCAAGATTAAGGGGGAAAGGTCACAAGCCTAATCAAGGCGAATCCTACCAGTTTCTCCCACGTTTCTCCATGCCTCTTGTCTTGTGTCGGGAAGGCAATGCGAACGAGGAGACAGGTCCACGAAAGAGCCAGCGAAGCAGCCGATCCACTGCTCTTGCTGTGACAGAAAGGACAAACAAGGGAATTAATCTAAGGGCTCCGGGAGAATCGTGGGATTCCCATCGCTGGTGCAGATGGGAAAGTTAGTCAAACGTTACAGAGTTAAGATGAAGGATTGCAGCTGTACCAAGGCGCACACTTCTAGTGTACCTCATGCGGTGGTGGGATTCAAATAATTTAACAACCGGTTCTCTGACCTAATGATTTCTTCCAACAACCAGTTCACCAAACTGCTCAGAAAATTAACAACCGGTTCTCCCGAAGTGGTGCGAACTGGCTGAATCCCACCACTGACCTCATGATTGCACAGGAATCCATTTCACTGCCCGCTGCTACAATTTGATACAACTTCCTCCACCGTTTGTATAATGGCCAGGGACAAATGAAGTCCAAGACATCAAAGGACATCTCGTCATAATCTTCTTCTTTTAATGACCTCATAATCCCTTGCAGGGTTGGGGTCTGAATGGAGTTTAAGTGTTTAGTGGCCGGAAGCCCTTCCTGTCGCCAATGCGGAGTTACATTCAGCAGATATATGTCTCAACATGACCAGAGAGATGAATATCTGCCTCAACCGAGGATCGAACTCACAGCCTACTGATTATGAGGCGAGAGCTCCACCTCCAAGCCACTGCACCATTCATCAAAGGACATCTGATAGCTACTCTTAATTTTATCAGCCCTGTAAAGTAGGCCAGTCTTAAGGTGGCAAAGTGGTTAGAATGCAGTATTGCAGGCTGGTGTGGTCAGCTGGAAGCAAATTCGGACAGTGAGGAGGTTGGGGAGGAACATGGGCCAGTTCTGGAGTCTGGGGAAGGCTTGGATGAGGGCTCTGCGTTGGAGCCAGAGAGGGGACCAGGGCCATCTGGGAGTTATGTGCTGCCTCCGGAGCCTCCGGAGTCTGACGTCAGCGAGGCAGAAGAACAAGGGGAGCCTGTTCCCAGTGTGCGCATGCGTAGAGCTGCCAGAAGGCAAGAACAGTTAAGACAAAAGGGGCGACTTGGGAGTAAGGCTTGGAGATGATTGGCCCCTCCCATAAGACATAAAAAGAGGAGCAAATGAACATGAGCCTTTGCAGGAAGCAACTTGGTTCATTCTGGTCAGTTTAAACTCTGAAGCTCCGTTTTGACTCTGTGCTCCGTTTGGCCTTGCAA